CACACACACGCTCACACACACGCTCACACACACGCTCACACACACGCTCACACACTCGCACTCTCTACAGGAGCTGATACTGAGAAACACAGAGTTTGCAGAGCTAACACTGAGTCACGCCCAGCACCTTTATCGTATGTCCCCCTCACCCTAGCGTTGCATGTTGCGCGTAATTCAGTTGCGTCTCCTCCATGACTGAGGAAACCAAATAACCAATGACGTATGCCTTTGCATGTCTCTTTAGATCATGGCTACACGACTCTGGCCACTAACGTTACCCTGCTACGTGCAACAGAGGTGGAAGAGATCCTGGAAGGCAATGATGAAAAGTACAAGGCCGTCTCTATCAGCACTGAGCCTCCAACGTACCTTCGGTAAAAACACCTACCTTGCGGGTTTCGGTTGAGTCAGTTGACTTAAAACTGAGGTTAGGGGGCTTCTCCTCTCCACCGTCTTGGATGAAGGGCAGTGTCCTAAGAGGACCATGAATAGCCTCCATCCTCTGAGCCAGCAGCTCCAGGTTCAGGTCCCATTCCAGGACCTGCCAGACCCCTGGGATGGCGCATTGATATCACCGTCAAACAGATCGAGTAACAATTTGTGAGTCGTGCCAATGCGCGCCAGTGGGAGGCAGTGAGAGAGAGAGAGAGATTCCTGCTACAATGGAGAGAACGTCAGAGCTTCCACCCCTCGCTGTCCACTGCTCCAGCCTACAACAGGCTCAGAATTGCCACTGTGCAGAAGGAAGCCGTTCAGCCCATCTTGGTTCTATCACCTCATGCCAATTCCCCCTTATCCCTGAACACCATCACTATCCAAGTGATCATCCAGTCCCCCTGCTGAATGCCTCAATTGAACCTGCCCCCCTACCAACATTTCCAGGCAAATACTCACCTCAAAATGTTTGACATTGGTTGGAGATATTGGTGGTGGGGAGTGGGGGCTGGTTTGGTGTTGGTGGGGGCGTTTTGCTGGTTGGATGTCAGGGTGGATCAGCTCGCTACGATCAGCACAGAGTTCAAATCCATTTCCACCCCAGGGGGTGACTACAGGCCCTGCCCATTCTGGAGGTCACGGCACTGTGGGTCAGAAATGCCTTCAGGCCAAGATTCAAGATGAAGGGGAAACAGGGAGTGGATGGGATCTGTCGATTCGCTGGAGTTTTAACGGTTGAGAGCCAATCCCATTGCAGTGGAGATTGGAATGGGATTCGGGGTGGGCTGGCAAGATGGATACAAAAGTGGCTTGGTCATAGAGGTTAGAGGTGGAAGGGTCTTTTTAAGCATGGAGACTGATAACTAGTGGTGTTCCACAGTGATCAATCTCAGATCCTCTGTTGTTTGTAATATATATATATAAATGACCTGGAGGAAAATATGGGTGGTCTAATTAGTAAGTTTGCAGATGACACAAAGATTGGTGGAGTTGCTAATCATGCCGACGATTGTGAAAGGACGCAACAGGATATAGATAGATTGGCGACTTGGGCACAGAAATGGCAGATGAAGTTTAACCCAGACAAATGCGAGGTGATGCATTTTGGAGGATCAAGTTTAGGTGTGAATTATACTGTTAATGGCAGAACCCTTACATACAGACAGATGCAGGTCCACAGTTCCCTAAAAGACACAATACAGGTGGCCAAAGTGATTAAGAAGACATATGGCATGCTTGCCTTATTTGGCCAGGGCATGGAGTACAAGTTGAGAGTTGGCAAACCATGCTGCAGCGATATAAAACCCTTGTTAGGCCGTATTTGGAGTATTGTGTGCAGTTTTGGTCACCACACTACCAGAAGGACATGGAAGTTTTGTAGAGAGTGCAGAGAAGGTTCATCAGGTCTCGAGAGCATTGACTATGAGGAAAGGTTAAAAAGACTAGGATTTTTTTCACTCGAAAGACATCAGCTGAGAGGAGACCTGATAGAGGGTCTACAAAATTATGAGAGCCATAGATAGGGTGGATAGTAAGAGGCTTTTTCCCAGGGTTGAAGTTTCAATTACAAGGGGGCACGGGTTCAAGGTGAGAGGGGGAATGTTTAAAGGAGATGTATGAGGGACGTTTTTCATGCAGAGAGTGATAGGAACCTGGAACGCACTGCCAGAGGAGGTGGTGGTGGAAGCAGGCACATTGGCAATATTTAAGATGCAACTGGATGGTTACCTGAATAGGGAGGGAATAGAGGGATAAGGACTGAATAAGGGCAGAAGGTGTGCTTTTTAGTTGAGTCAGGGCATGATGAATGGCATAGGCTTGGAGGGCCAAAGGGCCTGTTCCTGTGCTGTACTTCTCTTTTGTTCTTTTGTATAAAACTATTCGAAGGTTTGTCAGGTTACATATTGGGATTCATCTCTCCTTCAGTCTTTCTCTCACCTTTTCTATATTTGTCTTTATCTATCTCTCTTTCCATCTCTTTATCTCTCTCTCTCTGTTTCTCTATCTGTCTCTCTCTCTCTCACCATCTCTCTCTCTCTTGCGTTCTCTCCTTCCATCTCTAGCTCTCTCTCTGTCCGTTTTTCTGGTGTTCCCTCCTTTTCCTTCTCACTCTACATTTATCTCACTATCAATCTCTCCCTCTATCTGTTGCCCTCTCTCTGTCTTCCTCTCTCTCACTCTCTCTCTCTATCACATTCTACCCTGCCTCTCTCCATCTTTTTATCTTTCTCGTTCTCTCTGGTGTCTTTGCTTTTCTCTCTCTCTGTAACTATCTTCATCTCTCTCCTTCGTTCCGACTGTATGTCTATCTCAGTCTCTCCCTCCATCTCTCTCTTGCTGTCCATCTCTGTTTCCTTATTTCTCTGTTTCTGGCTGTCTGTTTGTCTCTCTCTGTCCCATCATCTCTCTTCCTCTCCCACCGTCTCTTTCTCCATCTCTATCTCCATCTCTGCCCCTCTCTGTCTGCATCGTGCTATTCCTTTCTCACTCTGTCGATCTCTCTCTTTCTCTCCCTCTCCAGCTCTCTCTCTCTCTCTCTCACTCTCTCCCTCCAGCAGTGTATCTCAATGTTTTTTCTCCCCATTTCTCTCTCTCTTTCTCTGTCTCTGTGTTTCAGTGTAGAAGAGGCCTAATCAAAGTCCTTTACAGTTCCAATATAACCTCATGCTCCTATAATCTGTGCCACTACTGATAGAGAAGTCCCCTTTCTGACTTCCTGATTGACCTGTCCCTTCAGGAATCTGTGGACAAACAACCCAGGATCACTTTATTCCTCTGAGATCTCTAATATCCTGCCATTCATTGAGTACTTCCTTGCCTTGTTCCTTCTCCCATCATCTCACCATCTGCCCATCTGACCAATCCGTCTATATCTTAATTCCTCCTCACTACTCGGAAGATCTTTGTATCATCCACAAACTTACTCATCAACCCCCGTTACATTCTCATCTACATCATTGATAATAATAAGGGGCCCAGCCCTGATCCCTGTGGGACACCACAAGGTCTCCAGTCACAAATCAGTTTTCCATCACCACCCTCTGTTCCCTGTCACAAAGTCAAACTTGGATCCATCTTGCCAAGTTACCCTGGGACGCATGAACGATTTACCTCCTTTATCAGTTTCCCACGTGGGGCCTTGTCAAAGGCCTTGCTAAAATCCATACAGATGACATTAACTGCCCTACCCTCATCCAAACTCTCAGAATCCTTCTAGTGCAGAAGCAGGCCATTCAGTCCATTATGCGCACACTGCCCCTCCAAACAGCATCCCACCCAGGCCAACTGCATCCCTGTAACTCTGCACTTCCCACAGCCAGTTCTCCCAGCCTCCACATCCCTGGACATTTCAGATCAATTTAGCACGGCCAATCCACCCTAACCATCATATCCCTGGGCACTATGGGACAATTTAGCACGGCCAATCCACCCTAACCTGTACACAGAGCATAGAACATAGAACATTACAGCGCAGTACAGGCCCTTCGGCCCTTGATGTTGCGCCGACCTGTGAAACCAATCTGAAGCCCATCTAACCGAAACTATTCCATTATCATCCATATGTTTATCCAATGACCATTTAAATGCCCTTAAAGTTGGCGAGTCTGCTACTTTTGCAGGCAGGGCATTCCACGCCCTTACTACTCTCTGAGTAAAGAACCTACCTCTGACATCTATCCTATATCTATCACCCCTCAATTTAAAGCTATGTCCCCTCATGCTAGCCATCACCATCCGAGGAAAAAGGCTCCCACTGTCCACCCTATCTAATCCTCCGATCATCTTGTATGTCTCTATCAAATCACCTCTTAACCTTCTTCTCTCTAACGAAAACAGCCTCAAGACCCTCAGCCTTCCCTCCATACCAGGCAACATCCTGGTAAATCTCCTCTGTCCCCTTTCCAATGCTTCCACATCCTTCCTATAATGCGGTGACCAGAACTGTACACAATACTCCAAGTGCGGCCGCACCAGAGTTTTGTACAGCTGCAACATGACCTCATGGCTCCGAAACTCAATCCCTCTACCAATAAAACCTAACATACTGTACGCCTTCTTAACAACGCTATCAACCTGGGTGGCAACTTTCAGTGATCTATGCACATGGACACCGAGATCTCTCTGCTCATCCACACTACCAAGAATCTTACCATTAGCCCATACGCTGTATTCCTGTTACTCCTTCCAAAGTGAATCACCTCACGCTTTTCCGCATTAAACTCCATTTGCCACCTCTCAGCCCAGCTCTGCAGCTTATCTATGTCCCTCTGTAACCTGTAACATCCTTCCACACTATCCACAACTCCACCGACTTTGGTGTCATCGGCAAATTTACTAACCCATCCTTCTACGCCCTCATCCAGGTCATTTATAAAAATGACAAACAGCAGTGGCCCCAAAACAGATCCTTGAGGTACACCACTAGTAACTGAACTCCAGGATAAACATTTCCCATCAACCACCACCCTCTGTCTTCTTACAGCTAGCCAATTTCTGATCCAAACCGCTAAATCACCCTCAATCCCATGCCTCCGTATTTTCTGCAATAGCCTACCATGGGGAACCTTATCAAACGCTTTACTGAAATCCAAATACACCACATCAACCGCTTTACCCTCATCCACCTGTTTGGTCACCTTCTCGAAGAACTCAATAAGGTTTGTGAGGCACGACCTACCCTTCACAAAACTGTGTTGACTATCCCTAATCAAATTATTCCTTTCTAGATGATTATAAATCCTATCTCTTATAATCCTTTCCAACACCTTACCCACAACCGAAGTAAGGCTCACTGGTCTATAATTACCAGGGTTGTCTCTACTCCCCTTCTTGAACAAGGGGACAACATTTGCTAGTCTCCAGTCTTCTGGCACTATTCCTGAAGACAATGACGACATAAAGATCAAAGCCAAAGGCTCTGCAATCTCCTCTCTAGCTTCCCAGAGAATCCTAGGATAAATCCCATCCGGCCCAGGGGACTTATCTATTTTCACACGTTCCAGAATTGCTAACACCTCCTCCTTATGAACCTCAATCCCGTCTCGTCTAATAGACTGTATCTCAGTATTCACCTCGACTACATTGTCTTTTTCATGCCTCATCTCTAGATAAGCCTCCTTCTTCCTCTTGACAAGAGATGCAACTTCTTTAGTAAACCACGGTTCCCTCGCTCGACCACTTCCTCCCTGCCTGACAGGTACATACTTCTCAAGGACACGCAGTAGCTGTTCCTTGAACAAGGTCCACATTTCAATTGTGCCCAGCCCCTGCAGTTTCCTTCTTCATCCTATGCATCCTAAATCTTGCCTAATCGCCTCATAATTGCCTTTCCCCCAGCTATAACTCTTGCCCTGCGGTATATACCTATCCCTTTCCATCGCTAAAGTAAACATAAGCGAATTGTGGTCACTATCACCAAAGTGCTCACCTACCTCCAATTCTAACATCTGGCCTGGTTCATTACCCAGTACCAAATCCAATGTGGCCTCGCCTCTTGTTGGTCTATCCACATACTGTGTCAGGAAACCCTCCTGCTCACATTGGACAAAAACTGACCCATCTAAAGTACTTGAACTATAGCGTTTCCAGTCAATATTTGGAAAGTTAAAGTCCCCCATAACAACTACCCTGTTACTTTCGCTCTGGGCACTATGGGACAATTTAGCACAGCCAATCCACCCTAACCTGCACATCCCGGGACACTACCGCATGGCCAATCCACCCTAACCTGCACATCCCTGGGCACTATGGGACAATTTAGCATGGCTAATCCACCCTAACCTGCACATCCCTGGGCACTATGGGACAATTTAGCAC